AAAAGTGTGCATTAACATCATTTTAGTATTCAATAAATTGTTTCATTAACTTCAGCTTAACAACAATTGACTTTTACATGCAAAAGATTTGATATCACATTAGATTTTTCAGGCAATTAAAAATAATGAAATTCGAAACTGTAGCATTAAGAACTGAACCAAGAAGAGATGTTTTATGTTATTAACACGGCCAGTATTTCAACTACCGGTTATCCTACAATATGGTTAAAGGGGGAGATTGAACACAAACGAGTTTAAGATCACATAAGTGGTCTCGTTGACCAGCCAAGGATTGCGTTGCCATGTAAGCTAAGCTAAACTTACTTGCACATAAGTGTGCTCAAGGTTGCGTTGACCAAGTTTGACAAAGTCTAGATTTGTTCGTAATGATACGCTTAGTCAAGTACAGTGGGACAAGTACTTAAAAGCATGTGTACAATATTGGTGAAGGTCGTGAGCAGGGGAGAACCAAGTAAGCCTTCATGAATTCTAGTTGAGTTTTCATGAGATTTTCCTAACTGGGATGTTCACATATACAACATTTTTACGTATATTTATGACTATTAATGAGTATGGTATATGTTCAGTTATCATGCTTGAGCATGTCATTCACAAAAAATGTGTCAGTTACATGTGCGGGGTCTTGTATTAGGACGCTGCTAGTGACATGACGATTAACCAACATTGATGCATCAGATGTAGTACATGTACCACAATCCATGAATGGGTATCTTTGAGTCTGGATTGGTTTACGGTACACAAGACATGTGACACTGATTGCCTTTAAGTGTTATTAGTTTATGGTTACAATACAACAGAATTGGATATGCAACTGGACAACAAATTTTTTCTAGTCCTGATAATAAACTAATTTATAACACTTAAATTTATAATATTGTCACGTTAATTTTTTTAAGGTACAAGTTGAATAAGGGTCGTTAATTATGAACATCTGTTTATGGAGCACTTGTTTTTATAAGACAATTTTTTCTTAATAATATCATAAAAATTTAATAAGATGTTTTTTTTTTCCTTTCAAAAATGTCTTAAAATATTATTAAATCATACAACATGCATTCCATAGTTTTCCACGATATCAATTAGGGGTGCTCAAAAACCCGACCATCCCGATCAACCCAACCCAACACGAAATAACTCAACTCGAAGCAACCCGATGTCTAATCAAGTTGTAAAATTGTCAAACCGTAGGTATTGGGTTAATGTTAGGTTACTACTATTTGAACCCAACCCAACCCGATGAACCCGATATCCTTTTATTTCTTGGATTTAATATGATTGTTGAATTTATGTTAATATGTACATCAGACAATTACACTATCAGGTGTGCTTTTCATATACACATACTTTCAATCTATTCACATATTTATGTAACTCAATCGTATATATGTTCAATAATTGTGAAGATATATATGTAAATTGAGAAAATTAACAGAATGTGATATACGTAAGAAGTATAGATAAGTTGTATCAAATGATTGATGATGAAAAAGAAATTATGAGTAGATAAATAACATATTCTAGGTTAGAAGAATATTTTAACGTATCAAAGTATCAACCCGACCAACCCGTACGGGTTGGGTTGGGTTGGGTTGAGTTGCATTTTGGTTCGGGTTGGGTTAAGTTAAGATTTTTTAAACCACAAGCATTAGGTTGGGTTGTTCAAATGTTTTCAACTCGATCAACCTCAATCCATAAGTACCCCTAATATCAATAATGCTTAATCAAAAAGATGGACATATGAATTAACAATTATTATGTCACACCCATTTAAAGTACATAAAATGTATCCTAAAAGTTATTTAGATGATTATTTACTAATTGACCTTTTAATTATTATTTTAAATTTATAAGCAAAATTATAGAGTGATGTTTATTAGTCAAAAAATCTAACGTGTTACGTAAACGAAGTCGTGTAGAAAAAAAAATATATATATATATATAATATAAGTTTTTACGTTTATCATTTAAACTTCGAATATTTAATTACAAACTATAATGTTGAATTGTTTGATGGGTAATTTACTATTAAAAATTATGATGATAAAAAAATATATTATTATTTAACTTTTTATTTCCAATAAGCGATAAATAATACTTTTAAAAATTTATAGTTTTAATTATGTGTCATTTTCTTTTGAAAAACTTGTGCAACAACACAAGTTCAAAGTCATTATGAGAAGAACAAAGTGGTTGAGTTAGTAAGTGTGCTTATCCATATGTGTGTATATATATATATATATATATATATATATATAAACATAAACGTCTCCATTTTACAAGAAGATGATAACACCTTTAACACAAGTGATAATATATATGAGGGGAGTTGGTGGTGTGCGGATGACATGTCATTTGACCTAGGTTGCGCCAAAGGTTGTATGAGTCTATGATTTAGTATCACATGTGATGAATTATAGTATTAGAACAATAATACCTTTATTATATGTGATAATATACGTGAAGGAATTTAGTGGTGTAAGTACGATTTAGTCTGCAATTTAGATGGGCCAAAAGTTGTCTGTGTTGCTAATTTAGTATCACATTGTATAATGATGGAATATAATATCACATTTGAAATTAAAATTTTAAAACCATTTTTTTATGCTTCAATTACTGTTTATTGATAGATATTACTTATTTTTTTTATTAACCTGGATATCCAACCTGTTATGCGAGCCGACTAATCCCAGGGCGATCACCTGCTTTGCAGATAGCCCGGAGTCATCGCATTTGAATCTCGGTGGCCACAAGGGGATTTTCATTCCTCCTTGGATTTGAATTTACATAAGTACAACTTATTAAAGAGCAAATCTAGGGGAGGAAAAGCTCGGCTCGACTTCTAATTGCAACTGAGATTTGTTCCTCATCCGGGGGTTCATTTCATTCTCTATTTTAAATTCGTATAACTAACTGCAAATCAAATATCTCATTTTAAATATAAAAAACCTAAAATATAATTAGAATAATCAATGAATTTTAACAGAACATTTAATTATTATCTTTATAAAAATTATATTATTAAACTGAAAATAAATTATTTTTTGATTAAATCTAAATTATATTATAATAAAAAATTGAATTATAGAAATTATACAAAAAAATGAACTTTTAAATAGTTGATACTAATATTGATTTATTTTTGAAAAAATTTATGAGATATTCAAATTTATATTTTATTAAAACATAAAAACATTATCGCTTTATCAAAATCATATAAAACTGTGTTATAATCTCAACACAAACAAAATAAAACAAAACAATAAAATCAAGATATATCGTGCTGCATTGTAGAAGTATTTTTCTCGGTAATATAAAATATCTTTAAAAAGCATATTTTATTAATTTAAACATTACTTTCTAAATATAAACTCAATATTTTTTCAAAGGAATGAAGCAATAATTCGGATTTGTGTTTGTTGTTAGTGTTGTTGCATTGCAATTCAATCGAAATTAATATGTTTCCAACAACATCTGGTGGCATTCAATGTTGGTTGCTTTTAGTCTCTTTAAAGCCAATTTTTCTAAAAATAATTAATAGATATTCATATATATATATATATATATGTATATATACACACCAAATTATATATATAAAACCACATATAATATGTTTCCCTCTGGACGATGAAGTTTATCCCCCCATTGTCTCACTAGCTGACCTTGACTCATATTATTTTTAGGTCATATCTAGCTAATATTCAGAGTTTACTTCGATTTGATACCGCTCTTGCGGCCCGCACCGAAACAGTGCCAAATATTTAGAAAAAAAGATTAAATCAAGCATATATCGATCATTCCAATAAAATTAAACCCCATATTTGTTGTTCACGTATGAATGTAATCTAAAAAAATGTATGAATCAAACGTCCTAAATATTACTTAATAACTTTCACATTTTAATTTGCTCAAAATAACTTAAGTTTAAATTTATAGACACTTGAGATATGATCCTAAATACCACTAAAATTAAATGTTTGATGTCCTTTAATTATCAAGTAATATCCCATAAACACGTTCGCATATACATATATGTATAATTAATATATATGTTATATGGACGTAATATATATATATATATATGTATATATATATATATATATATATATATGGGGTTGATTTTATATAAAAAAACCAAGTTCACCAGAAGGATAAAGGAGAACGCAACACGTGTCCCTTGCATCAATAAATTATTCAATATGAATAATGTATATTCATAATGAATATTATTCATCATGAATAGTTTATAACCCCACTCTCTCTTTTTATATATATATATATATATATATATAGGGTGTGTATATATATATATACACAGGGTGTGTATATATATATATATATGTATATATATATATATATATATATATTATTGATTTTAAGGGAGAAAGTCGTGGGTACCTCATTAATAGCCTCCTCCTTCTCTTTGGTATGATATCTACTCTTGTTCTTTATATAAATCACTCATCTTCTTCGTCTCTCTCTATATCTCCATACTTTCTTTACTCCCTCTTCCTCATCCTCCTCCTTCAACACCACGATCATCTGGTAAGCATATATTTTTTCTTTTCTAAATTCAAAATGCAGTGTTTATACAGTGTTGTTTCATCCATCTTTTCTGTTGCCTATAGTTACACCTTTGCAATACCCTGTAAGGGAATTCTTTTTAGCGTTGTTTCATACAAAAGAGTCAATGTTTCACATATTAAACAACATTGAATCAATTGTTGCTAATTACAGTTTGATTGAATTATTTAAATATTATTTAAAAAAACATTTCATATATGAAACAACACTGTATAAATATTGTATTTTTATATATAAAACAATAAAATTGGTTTATAAATTTATAGAATAATAGATAATAGATTATTGTATTTTATGTTAGTCTATGGGTAGGTTGTGACTTGTGAAGTTGCATGGTATTACAGGTGGTGGTTGGTGAGGTTAGACGAGGTGTTTCCTAATTCTGATCAAAGGATCAGATGGATTCGTCTACAGGATGGCTGATTGCATCAGTTATTGTAGCGTACTTGATTTGGTTCAAATCAATCGCACGGTCATTAACAGGTCCACGCGTATGGCCTCTATTGGGTAGCTTACCAGGCTTAATCCAGAATGCTAATCGCATGCATGATTGGATCGCCGACAATCTGCGCACGCGTGGTGGCACGTACCAAACCTGCATCTCTCCCCTCCCCTTTTTAGCACGAAAGCAAGGTCTCGTGACTGTCACGTGCGATCCCAAAAACCTTGAGCACATACTCAAGGCTAAATTCGACAATTACCCAAAGGGCCCCACGTGGCAATCGGTGTTTCATGATCTGCTTGGTGAAGGGATCTTTAATTCTGATGGTGACACGTGGCTATTCCAGCGTAAGACTGCTGCACTGGAATTCACCACTCGAACTCTCCGACAAGCCATGGCTCGTTGGGTGAGCCGAGCTATCAAGCTTAGGTTTTGTCCCATCCTTAAAACGGCGCAGCTTGAAGGTAAGCCGGTTGATCTTCAAGACCTTTTACTTCGGCTCACTTTCGACAACATATGCGGCTTGGCTTTCGGGAAAGACCCACAAACTTTATCCCCTGGTTTGCCTGAAAATAGCTTCGCGTCGGCTTTTGACCGAGCCACTGAAGCCACCTTACAACGTTTTATTCTGCCTGAAAGTATATGGAAGCTGAAAAAATGGCTTAGGCTTGGGATGGAGGTTGACTTGAGCAAAAGTTTAGGCCACGTGGATGAGTATTTGACAGCTGTCATCAATACACGAAAGCTTGAGTTGCTTAATAAGGTCGATGGTGGAACCCCACATGATGACTTACTCTCTCGTTTCATGAAGAAAAAAGAAGCTTACTCAGATACGTTCCTACGACACGTGGCACTCAACTTCATCTTAGCTGGACGTGACACGTCATCAGTGGCGCTGAGCTGGTTCTTTTGGCTTGTAATAAAAAACCCCAGGGTTGAAATGAAAATTCTAACAGAAATTTGTACAGTTTTAAAAGAGACACGTGGCAGTGACACGTGTAAATGGCTAGAGGAACCTTTAATCTTCGAAGAAGTTGACCAATTGACGTATCTCAAAGCAGCATTATCGGAAACACTCCGGCTATACCCATCGGTACCGGAGGACTCCAAGCACGTCGCCGCCGATGACGTCCTACCCGATGGCACGGTGGTTCCGGCCGGTTCTGCCATCACTTATTCAATTTACTCAACCGGGCGGATGAAATTTATTTGGGGAGAAGACGTACTTGAATTCCGGCCGGAGAGGTGGTTATCCGGCGACGGAAAAAAGTTCGAGATCAAGGATCAATTCCGATTCGTCTCTTTCAACGCCGGTCCCAGAATCTGTCTAGGAAAGGACTTGGCTTACTTGCAAATGAAGTCGATAGCGGCGGCGGTGCTGCTTCGCCACCGCCTCACGGTGGTGGCCGGCCACCGTGTGGAGCAAAAGATGTCCTTAACTCTGTTTATGAAATATGGTCTTATGGTGGACCTGCACCCACGGGATTTGGAACCCATAGTGGAAAAAATCGGTTGCACGGGAATGGCACGTGATGGGGATTGCTAAATGTTAAGTGTGAATATATGAGATTTATTAAAGTAGACTGTTATTTTACTTTGTGGTTTATCACAGACGGTCATTTTACCAAACGATGAAAAGCAAAAAGTTTCACAGACTGGACTGTGACCGTTACCTGATTGCCAGAAAGATTTCACAAGTTGTTACCTTTTTTTTTTTTTTTTTTTTCCTTTTTATTGGAATAAATAATCCACACATGTAATGAATATATATATTTCTTCTATTTAAATGAAGGGGTGATTTATTTATCTTGATTTTTCTGTTTTTATATTTTTAAATAAATATATATGAATTAAATTTTTTACCCAAACATCAGTATAAATGACAAACCAATTAATTAAATTATTAATTAATTATTATGATCAATATTTTATTTTATGAAACAATTGACATGTATTTATTAGACCAGATGAACGATCGAGATTAATTTGTAAATTAAACACTTATTTATTTTTCTTTGAAATAAAAAAACATGAAGCAATAACTATGTGAAGCATATACAATCAAAATGTATATTTTAAGTAACTACTATTTATGGGTTTTTTTCTAAATTTATCCAATATATATTTATTTATTTATTGAAATAAAAAAAATCATGAAAAAATAATTATGTGAAGCTTATATCATCAAAATATATATTTTAAGCAACTACATTTAGGGTTTTTTTTCTATAAAAAAATTCCAATAAATTCTTATTTAATATTTGAAATATAATTTAGATGTTTGGGACCATAAATAATAAAGATTATGGAGTTTATAGCTGTTGAAAATTATTGTTGACTGAGTAAATAGACTGGAATTTATAAACAATAATTATAATAAATAATAATTATAATAAATAAAAGAAAATAATGAAATGTGTAGGTGAGTTTTAGGTTTGTTAAAAGTTAGTACCTACCAAAGAGGCCATTTATTGGTTATGATAAATGCCCCTTCAATTAATTCTTCATGTGCTTCATTACCTTTTATTCATGTTTACAAATTACTTTCTCATTTGGACAAAATGGATTTCCATTTTTAGGATTGTTTCTTGAATATCTTTTTATTAATAATTTAATTCATTTATCCCAACTGGTTTCATATGAAATCTGTTTTTAAAGACACTAATGCGAGAGCAGCTGAGGCTACTGCACGTGCATGGGAGGGAGGATTGGAGTCGAATCCAGAATCTGTATTGTATTTGAGCAAAGTCGTCTCATTCTTTTGTTAACTAAGCAAGTTTAGTTGATGACTTCTTGAAGATGATCGTCGATAATAAAAGCCATAAGCTATATGGATTCAGAGTGCCAAATAACCTTCTCCCATAAGGTGAACTTACCATCAATATTCGAATGGTGGCATGGTTGTATTTTTCAAATCTTGCTTAGTTTTATCTTTGAAAATAGAATAGTGATGGCCAAAAACCAGTCTCGGGTCTCAACAGATCTGGCTATAACCGATTTTGGTCCTGATCGAAAAGGGTGATCCCGGTCAAGCTTGAATATAACCGGTTATGGACCGCAGGTCCCGATCATTAAAAAATAATTTTTTTTATATTTTTTTAATGATATATGTTTTTAATACATTATAAAATTTATAATTGGGTCACTTAAATATACTTTAAAATGCGTTTTATTATAATTAAAATTACATTGTCTTACAAAATATAGCCAAAAACCGAGAATTGTGAACTTTTTTTGGGAATCGAGAACTTGATATGTAAACTCCTCAACCAAGACACTTACATATAGTGTTTAGAAGGCAAAAAAAAATAATACAAAAAGTGGCCAAAAACGGTGATAAACTGCTAGTTTTTTTGAAAAATAACGACTACATTAAAAAAACAACTACATTTTTGAAAAATCGGGCCGGGCCGGGCCGGGTCCATAACTTGTCTCAGTCCCAGATTTCGGTCATATAACCAGTCCTTACCGGTTCCGGGCGGGACTGGTTTGCCCATCACTAATATAGAATAAGCATGCATCACCATGCATTATTGATTTTCTCGAATTTGCGTGGTTCCTAAGGTAATATAACACGTTTTGTATGAAAATATAACCCGGTTTTTGGAATATTCTTATCATGTAAATCAAGTAGATTATTTGGTTCATAATATAATTCAGACGTTTGTAATCTTCAAAAATATCAAAATTATACAAGTGCAATTAATTATTTAAAATTAATTTTTTTTTATAAATTTGTATCGTACCTGATATTTATATATGTTTTATTTTGAGCAATAAGTATATATATATATCATATTTTTTTAATTTATAGTAAAAAATAAAAACAAAAAGATCCTTAAAAAATGGCATTTTTTGTTTTGTGTTATCTTAAAAATCCAACATTTATAGTTAAAAAGCACAATCCAAAACAAGTGAAACCCATTTTTTGTTTTGTTATTATTTAATTTTAAAATTTAATTATTTGGGAATAAAATTTATTTATTTAATATTTAATTATAAAAAAACCCCAATAATATATAATGGGGACAATGCTACTTTAATATATTTGGTGGTGGATGCCTCTTTTCTTTTTCAAATATTTATGAATCATACATACCAACACAATACCTTTTTAATTTATTATATATTTTTTAATTTTGTATTAATAATTTGAATTAATTAAATTTAATTTATAATTTACACAAAATAAATAAACTACTAAACTTAATTCAAAATATTAATTAATATATTAAATATGAATTAATATGTATAATAATTATATAAAGTCAATATAATATTAATATTTAAAATATAAAGAACAATATTGAGGATGGACTAGGTATGCTACCAAGTTTTTTCCTCGCAAACAAATATATTTGGTACCAATTATTTTCGGTTGTTACATGTTGGTACTGGTTTTATACAAACTTCAAGTTACATATATAAAAATTTGTCGGTTTGTTTAAATTTATGTTTTCAGATAATACATGTAATGTTTACAGGTTTCTAATTGTAAGGAAAAAAACGTGTAAACATTTGAATGTTCAAACAAAAATAGTTAAAAGTTATAGTTTTTAATATTTGATACATAAAAGATACTAAAACTAGTAAATAATTAAATAAGTTGGTATCATATGCAACTTTTGATACTGTGTACCAACCAAGTCTGCATATTTTGTATGATACTACAAATCGACTGTTAGCTATAGACATGACTGGTACACATGTTGTCTGGTTTCATTTCATACAAAATGGCTACCCCTAAATATAGACGTCATTGACTTGTAGTGTTATAATGGAGTTAAGAGACTTGCAAGAGCGTTTTAGCTCTTAGGAGACCTACTGGGCTGGACTAGCACTTATCATGGACCATTAATAAAATTTATAATACCAAATAGTGATGGCCAAAGTGGCCCAGCTCATTGGACAACTAGAGGACCGGTTATAGGACCGTCGACCGGGACTGGTTATGGTTTTGGATGGTTTCGAGGGGCCAGATTGGCCCGGCCCGGTTTTTAGAAAAGTAGCCATTTTTTTTTTGGAAAAATATAGTTGTTATATGACCATTTATGACCCTTTTTTGCCTTCTAAACTCTATATATAAGTGTCATGGTTGAAGGATTTACATACTAACTTATAGAACGCAAAAACGTTCATAATTATCAGTTTTAATTATAATAAAATGCATTTTTAAAGTGTATTTGAGTGACCAAATTACATATTTTATAATGTAATAAAAATCTATCAATAAAAAAAATTAAAAAAATATATTTTTTGGTCGGGACCAGTTGGGACTGAGACCGACTAATCATAACTGGTTATAAGAATGCTTAATCGGGCTTAGTATTTTCAACTGAGACCGAGACCAGTTATGACCGACACTGTTGAATCCCGAGACCAATAAGGACCGGCCTGGCCCGAGACCGGTTTTTGGCCATCACTAAATTACCAAACCTCACAATATGGTTTGGGAAAAAAAAAATTCAAGCCGCAAATCGTACAACAAAACTTCTAAATCGTGCAGTTTAATGCGATGCAAACGGGTTATGCCTTGTTTCTATTAGGTGTACATTTAAACGGCACAAACTGTCCATATCACATCGCAAAGCATGGTTTAGAACATCCGCAGTGTGGTTTGCATTTTTATCAAATCGCACTATGTGATACGGTTTGCGGTTTTGAGTTATCAAACTGCGGTTCAAACCACACTGCATATTTTATATTTTTTTTAAATTCTATTTGACCATGGTCCAATTTAGTTTGAAGTTAATTGTTTTTACTTCTTAGAGTGTATATAATTATGCAATATGTATTCGGGAATCAGATGAACTAAAACTTATTATAAATTTATTTTTTTGGACTATGGTCACGTTATTGTTGATATTACAATGTATTTTTCAAACTTATAATTATTGGATTGTAGACATAAAGTTCGATAGGTACAAACTGCACCGCATTTTGTGGTGCAGTTTTTTTCGATACGATTTGTAGTTTGGAGAAATGCTCAAACCGAATATACACGAATACCCTAGTTCCTATATTTTAAGATCTCAACTAAAAATAGCTTTTAAATCTTTTTTTCAAGATCTTAAACTAAAAATAGCTTTGATTTGGGCCTGGTTACTTGCTTCTTATTACCTCTTATCGGCTATCAAGTGTAATAGACTCTTACCTTAATAAGAAATGACTTTTTTACCAAAAAGAAAGTTGACCTCTTAATTTCATTATTGACCATCATCTTTCCCCGGTAAGAGGTTGATATGCTCCTTATCAGAATAAGAGGTCACCGGCCCGGTTATACCCCTATACACATTAATAATAACTTTTACTTGGTCAGCAGTTAATACAAAACATACAGTAAATATTAAATTTGTAATCAACACTGAGGTATCATTTACCAAACGCTTACTCAAGTAAGTGAACATCAAGTCACATTACTTTACCGAATGAATATGATAAGGACCAATAATCTTATTCAGTAAGAGTGGGACAAGGACCAAGAGTCTTACCCGGTAAGTGAGGACGACAACTCTTACCACGGTAAGCGCTTACCGGGTAAATTATTGCATAAGATACCCTTTTTGTGGACTAAAATCTTACCCAGTAAGTAAACGATATCGTTAAATTTTACTCAAAAACGCTTACTGGACAAGTATTTGGTAAACGGCCATTCAACCAGAACTCTCTTATTATAATCAGATAGTTTACCCTGATTTTAAAGTATATTTTAAAGTTTTGGTAAACAACCCATTATTTTAAATTATATTTTAAATGTAAATTTAATAGATTCAAAATGATTCTAAGCATCCAAACCAAAACATCCATATCAAGCACATAATTCTACACATTACAATACAAATGGAAAAAGGTATCACTACACCAACCAATAATGTACACAAACTAACAATCAATCATTTTGTTTCAGGTTATTACATAAAAAATGAACTGGGATTTGAGTTTTAGCTAATACCGAGTCCTGGTCCGAGATTCATACTGTTTGGGTAAGAATATCTGGACCAGGACTCAGAACTACAGTTCAGTAGTTCATACTGAACTCCTAATGATCAAAACCTTCTTACGGAGCTTTGCCAAACCTCGACGCATTGCTGATCTTTTCTAGTAACGAACATTTTGTTTCCACCAAACCCGAGATTCGTGATCCTATTGCCTCCGATATCCTTTGACCGACCCAATACGTTCTGCTTAAAGATTCTCTCTTCTTCCCCATTTTTACTCGTTGTCGATGAACCCATCAAAACCTCGGACCATAGCTCCAATTCGCCTTCTTTACTGCAAAAAACTTGATTCCCATGGTTTTCAATCTTGCAACCAAACCCTTCTTTCTTCACATTCATCGCTTTTCTTGAATCGCCAAGACAATTCCACGAAGTATCGGACGAGATGTTCCTAAAATCAATATAGGAAACTTCCCCCGAGTTCATCCCAATCTTGAAAACGGCCGAAAGGGTATCGGAAACCGTGATATCCGAAAAGCAATCGGCTTTTTCTTTGATCTCCACAACGAGATTCCCGGACCTTATATCCCAAAACTTGATGTTTCCAGAAATCCCAGATGGTCCACTATGAGACCCAGAAGCCATTAACAGATTAAGACTTGAAACCCAATTCAATTTTGTGGATGGAATCGCTGAATCAAGATCAGCACCAAAGATTTCATTATGCCCGATTTCGGATACGACTTTAAAGCTGTCATTGAGATCATAGACCAAGATCGAGTTCGAATTCCTACGACTTGATTCGAAACTAGTGAACAAAAGCTCAGGGGAAGTCCCAATTGCTTGAACAGTCGAACCAGATTTCGTCACGTTTTCCCAATTTAAAGTCTTTTTAACAAAACCCATTTCAAGATCAATGATTTGCAACCCAGAGAAATCAGTGGCACCAGCTGCAACTACATTTGATGATAAAGCTAATAAAGAATCAACAGCTGTGAATTGGGTCAAAATGGTTGACTTTCTTTGCAAAGACCAATCAAAAGACGTGATTTTGCTGCCATGCGAGACATGAACTGACCCAAATGGTGTTGTAGCGATGGCAGAAGGTGAATCTCTGCCACTAAGAGGCAAAATCATTGATTTTTCAAGATCAAAAGCTTCAAATTGAGATGGGTTTGATTGAGATTGAACAAGAAGATCTTCAACCCCATAAAACTTCGCTTCAAAAACGATATCTTGAATTTCAAAGCTTTTGGCTTTCGATGGCAGATTTCCAGTCCGTAGAAGAGATAAGAGAATCGAAAACAATTCTGGGTCTCTGTCGATAAATGGGATGGAGTTGTTTTGTTGGGAAGAATTGAAGAGATTAGAGAAAAGGGTATTGGAACCAGCTAGGGTTAGGGTTTGTTTGGTGGTTTGAAAGAGTTGACCACCCACATCAATGGTTACAACGTTTGGTTTGATGAAATCGTGAGGATTCTTGGAAACCCCATTTGAGAGAGACTTTGATTGTAAAAAAAGTGTCATCTTTTTGCCAAGAATTGCAGAAATTTTATGAGAAAAGATACAGGTTCTGAAAGGAAAGAATGGTTCTGGAAGGCCGCTTTAATGGTGGTCAACAGAGGTATTTGGTGATCTAGGGTTTGAAGTTGGTTTGGTTTTGTTTGCGTAAGAGGAAGAATAAAGGGATAGTAGGAAACGGCTGAAACAGAGCATATGGGGTGCTGTCCGAGTTGGCCTCACTGCTGTATCCATTCAAGTTGGACTTAAAATATTTGTAAATAAATATATCAATTATATATATATCTTCTTTTATATGAATCATATTTTTAGGGGATAAATATATAAAATAATAACCTATTTTTATTAATAATTATTATAATATTATATANCATATTTTCTCACTATTGGTAAAGTTTGAACCTCTGACCTTCTAAAAAACAAAAAGCTCAAATACCACCAAGCCATATATATATTTTTTATTACAATAAATTATTTTTTATTAAGATATTATATTTTAAATAATAAAAGTATAATTTTACATATATTTATTAAATAATAGTTAAATTGTTTGAAAGTATAATGTTGTAATAAAAAAATGTCATGTCAGCAATATGTTATACGTGTATCATGAGGTGGCATGAACACCTGATATAATAGGCAAATTTAAATCAAAAAGTTACTCATTGCTATAATAGATAGATTTTTAAAAGTACAATGTTCTAATAAAAAATAATTTAAAAGTACATTGTTGTAATAAGAAAAGTTGAAAGTACAATACTATAATAAGAAAATTTACGAAGTATGTTACTTTTTCTTGCATTTTGTCCTATGTTTAATTACACATGTTTTGCACAGCATATCGTTTTTTCCCCTAGGTTTTAAAGATCATCGATCGCATAAAATTTTAATATGATAATCTAACTGATATATATTTGACAAACTAGTTGATAAATTAGTCAGGGGACAAGAACACGACAAGTGTCCCAGGTGTCTACATTTATCATGAATAATGAAAGTACACATTCATGAACCATTCGTGATTAAAGATACACCATTCATGATGAATAACCCGTCACACGCTCCTTTGTCCCCTAGTTTACAACCGAAGATGGGTTTGCAACCGAACCTGACCTTGTATATTACATTGAAGACTTGGGATCATGTGAAACCAAACTGTTTCTGTGAGACTATAAAAACAACACTGAACCTTCACAGCAAAGCACTGAAAAGGTAAACCGTTGTGAAGTCTCGGGGTTTTTGTGTCTTCGCAGTGTTGTGAAGGTTCAGTGTTATTTATTGTCTCATTGGTCTCACCAAAACAGGTTGGTCTCACGTGAACCAACCCACCATAAACCATAATATTGAATATGCCAAATCTGATTACTTCCCAGAAACAGAAAATAGTATTTGACACCAAACTTTAGAATAAATCAAATATGAACAACAAAGGTTACAAAGAAACCAAGTTTTTACAAGAATTATTGGAGCAAATTGGCCTCTAGAGGGCTAAATGTTTGACTTAAAAGAGAGACTAGTTATGATGTACATACGGACACGGATACGAGTGCACCTACGGGTCGGCTTTCCCAGCTACTTCTTCATCACTAGAACCGTATTCAGCTTCGCTCAGTTCCTCATCACTCGATTTTTCTTCAGGCACAGCCCCAGCATCCTCTGGCTTTGCGTATCGCTCACAGTACTCTGAAAACAACACAAACAAAACATACTATTTTTGGCAAACAAAAAGAGTTCTTTTACGGTTTTACAGATGTACAGACAGCAATCCATCTTCATTCTACAAAAGGAAAGTTTAAAAAAATGTTGCAAGGATTCAATTCAATATATTTAACGCCCCAAGCAAAAAGCAGCAGGTTGGCTCAATAACTTCTGATTCAACTTCAAACTATGGTGGAAGTTACTGATGCCCGATAACTTTGATCTTATGAAGAGTTCACCAATCTACTTTTCTACCCATGTGAGACGGGTTTTTACAGTATATAACATTCTCTTAAGGGGCTGTTTGGCAGTTGCTGAATGGTTTAGTGCAGAATGATTAAGTGGTCAGAATGATTAAGAGGCTCTCATGATATTGTGCAAAATGAAATATAATTGTTTGGCAATTGTTTACAATGAAATTAGGACGCTTAATAGTTAAGGGAGACCCATGATACAAAATCATTCAGAGGGTTTTAGAACCATTAAAGACCTTTTTTTTGCCAAACAAGATTCACATCTTAATGATTCAGATGCTGCCTCTTAATGGAATTATTAAGAGGTAAACAAACAACCCCTAATTGTATAATCAATAGGGGTCCTCTCTTAATGTGTGCAACCTCTCTACCTCCACCACCGCTAACCACCATATAAAATCATTAAACATTTAGAGGCAACTTGTCCAGCCAGTCCTGGCCTAGTTGTGCCAAACACCAGACAGACAACTAGTCATGTCCATTATTGTTCTCTTGTCCATTCCAGTTTGCATACCAAATGCTGCATCATTTGGTACTTGTATGTAAAAAGGTAAACTTTGATCTTGACTTTGCCAAGAAGGGCACAAGTGTATTTAGGAAAACTTGTCCGAACCTAGTCGTGCCAAAAACCAGACATACAACTTGTCATGTCCAGTCCAGTATTGTTCTCTTGTCCTGTCCAGTCGTATCCAATGTTGCATCATTTGGTACTTGTATGTAAAAAGGTAAACTTTGATGTAACTACGCCAATAAGTGCAATATTGTATGTAGGACAACTTGTCTGACCTAGTCTTGGCCAATCCTAGTCATGCCAAATACCAGTCTGATCTGCGTACCAAGCGCTACCTTATGGACCAAAATCAATACCATCATTTGGTACTTGTATGCAAAAAGATAAACTTTGACGTAACTTCGCCAAGAAGGGCAATATCGTATTTATTTTGTGATGTCCCAAGGAAAAAATTGTTAAAATTATTTTGGAATGAACCAAAGTGAAGCTTCACATATCAGCACATTTAGGGCTTGTTTGTTAGCAGCTTAATGAGCTAAATGGGACTAACAACTTATTTGGTCAACCATGCATGACTATTCGGTCAACCATCTAGTAAGCTTCTGCGAGGAGCTTTATGCAGAAAGCCACGTTTTTTCCAAACATGTCCTTCCCAATTAAAAAGCACGCTTATGAAAAAAACCCTCCCTAACAAAAACCTTCCCAACCTATAGACTTGGATTAGTCCACACTGACAGCTTTATCCATGCATAACTTAATAGAAAACCAACTAAACAGCCCCTTAAGCCAAACCCTGAATTAGTAATCGATTTCAGAAATACCTTTAACTTTTTGCTCGTATGCAGTTCGGTCTCGCATCATCAGTGCTGCAGCGTCTCCATTCAAGGGATCAGATGGGTTCGGATACAAAAGAAGTTGAGGAAGAAAAACTTCGAAAACATTCACCAAATCTGCAGATAACAGTTAAAACTTGATTAACCACCACAAAAATTTATAAAGAAATAACGACGATGATGGTGACAAGCTGATTTACCAAACATCGGACTCCAAGTTTGATTGATAACATCTAAACAAACCGATCCTGACCTGCAAATAGTCGGATTTGTTCTTGATGAGAATGAATTATCGTAAACTATATTTCAGTTTAATTGGATTTATAGTTAAAGAAGCTCACATTTCATCCACATTTGGATGGTAAATTTTGTTGATAAAGCCAATTGATGGAGATTTATATGGATATGCATCAGGCAACTCCACCCTAATTCTCCAAACACCTCCATCATAAGGGCCTGCCACACCAAATTTGCAAATGGTCAACATTTATGGTTGATGTTAAAACACAAAAACTGTTGGTATCCGAATGACTCAGGTTTTGCTCTAATTGGGTATTCAGATTCTGACACGGGATGCAGACTAAACAAGAAAAGCACAACAGGACTTCCATGCTTTTAAAGGAAGGCTTTGTTAGCAGCTTAATGAGCTTAAAAGGACTCACAGCTTATGCGGTCAGCTATACATGACTGTTTGGTAGTGACTTAATGATATACAAAGTGGCTTATTTAGTAACCATCTAGGACAGCTTTATGCAGAAAGCCAAGTTTTTTACGAACATGTTCCTCCCAATAAAAAACTCGCTTCTTTTGTCTATTAAAAAACCCTTCCAAACAGAAACTCGGCTTTTGATCTAATTGGGTATTCAGATTCTGAGATGATGCAGAATAAACAAGAAAAGCACATCTAGACTTCTATGCTTTTAGAGAAAGGCTCTAAGGGTCTTTATGTTAGCAGCTTAATGAGCTTAATGACTCACAACGTATTCGTTCAGCTAGACATGACTGTTTGGAAGTGGCTTAATGATATAGAAAGTGGCCTATTCAGTAAGCTTCTAGGGAGAGAGCTTTAGACAGAAAGCCAAGTTCTTCACAAACTTGTCCCTCCCAATTAAAAACACGCTTCTTTTGTCCACTAAAAACCCTTTCAAACAAAAACTTTACCAATCCATACAACAGACTAATCCACATGAACAACTTTATCGGTACAGAACTTGATGGAAAACCAACCAAACCCCTGAACCATACTACTCCCTCTCAACAACTGATGTTCACATTTCATTTTTCTTTTTGTACCAAAACAAGACCCATTACTAGTGTAGTAGGACCCATTTCACCCAATTTTACAATCAAAAGTATCATCATATCCAAGAAGATTTGAAAGAGGGATTCAAGTAATGGCAAAAAGATTGTAACAGAACAACAAAATGACTCAAAAGAACCATCTTTACTCTCACTAATCATTGAATTTTAGGAGCTCCAATTGTGGAACAAAAGAAATACAACATAACCCCTAACCCCTAAAAGGAAGAACATAAAATTAGGTTCAAGTTAACCTAACACCAAGAACACAAATTGATGGGGTTAAGCTGTATGAACCCTATTTCAACACAATGGAGCAAAGAACTGGAAACCATCGTCATACAGCCACAAAGATCACATTTTTCCCAATTTACTTTGCATTCAGACAAATACCCACAAAGATTATAATCAAATCAGCTGAAAATTAAAGGGATTTACGTTGGTATATAATCAAAAAAGAGAAAGGAAAAAAGAGAGGAACAGATGGGGTTACGAAACGTACTGTCTTTAGGTCCATGAAACTGGACATAAAACTCTTGCATACCATCATTCATCATTTCCACTTTATAATCACCCATCATCCTAATCGACAAAATCAATCAGAACAAAAAAAAGAGGAACAATAAGTTGAGATTCTTGAAGAAATCTTAAAAGAAAAAGGGAAATTGGTGGAATTACAGCTTCATCAAATCCATTTCCCTGCGTTTGCTTGGAGAAGACATGGTTGATTTTAGTTGGTTAGAAATGAAAATATGATGATTTTATGCAGATTGAAGATTGAGTGTGTGTTTTTGGGTGGGGAGTGGCGTGTGGGTGGAAGAGACGAAGAGGATTCTTTGAGGAAAAAGGGAGAGAAATATGTGAAGGCGGTTCAGACAATCAATGAGTGAAACCAGGACTGAATGGTAGATTCTTTTTTAATCTTTCAAAGAAAAATACCATCCAATTCCCATTTATCATGGCTTTCTAATCGTTGTTGGAAATTATTATTTTAATATGTTAATGTTTCAATTTATTATCCGGATACTTAAATGTTTAAAACTTTATATTTTATTTATTAAAATAAAAGTTTTAGAAATATGTATCAAAAATAGGAATCAAGTTAAAGTATGTTATTTTTCCATACAATCTGTTCTTTTTAAAACAAGTTACTTTCATCTTCAATAGATTTTCTTAAAATAAATTACCTTTTTCTCGATGTGTTTCATGGATTTCGTTTCTACATGTAGAGAGAGTCTGGTTCAAATGAAAAAACTAACTAAATAAGATAACACGAGAATAGTCAAATTAAATATGATTTTACTCTAAAATTACGTTTAAAACCACATATGATTTTGGTAGCGACATCCGGTCGCGGGACAAGTCGTTCCTGCAATTAGTCCAGGTGCGTACAAGGTGGTCAGACACCGGATCCCAACCCTACCGGTAATTGGGTCCCTTTTTCAGAACTAAGGAAGTTCTTCAGAGGATGACGTCGATTTTACTCTAACAAGTTATGTTATTTTAGAAATTATGGAGATTTGGAAAAAGTTTGCTCGAACAACTGTAAAAAGTTATTCTTAAAAATAGAATACATTTTTTGAGAAGGAACGAAAAAATATACGAATTTGGAATAAAACAGATAAAATACAGTGCACCTGTTGTAGATGTTCTGAAAACATCTCAACAACTATTCTATAATATAAATTTTGGTGATTTACGAGAGTTTTATGTTCTGACAACTATGTTATATTGTATGGTAAAATAGAATAAAGAAGAGAGAGAATATGAAAATCTATAAATTTAGAGAAATTTATAGAATTTAATACATGATAGAGAAATAATATTTTAATTATTTTCCACCAATAAGAAGTGTTGAAAATAATAAATGTTTGTGAAAGAAAAATAATATTTTATTAAATGTATAAATTAATTTAATAATGTATTTAATACTAGAGTTGCTAAAATAATTTAGCCATTAGAATTGGATGTAATTTTTTTTTGAGTTTTTAGAGTTGTTTGTTCACCTTTTAATAGTTTTATTAAAAGACAAAATCTGAATTGTTAAAAAGTGAATTTTGTTTAGTAAAAAAAATCTGTCTGTTAATGGTTCTAAAACATTTTAAATAATTTTGTATATTGGGCTTCCCTAAGCCATTCAACGTCTTAATTTTATCATGAACAATTACCAAACAACCGTATTTCATTTTATATATATCATAAGATTCTTTTAATTATTCTGACTACTTAATAATCATGCATCAAAACATTCAACAACTCTCAAACAACCCTTTTAACTTTTAATACTATATTTAAAAAAATTATAGCATAGTTGTTGAAAATACTATTATTATTAATTACTAGAAATGTACCCGTACAATGCAACGAGATACATTTTGATTTAAATGTTTCGTTTTATTTTTTTGTCTTAGTCAATGTTATAATACGGTTTTATATGATTTTGAGAAAATGACAATGTTTTTGTTTTTGAATAAAATATAAATATGAAGATATATCATAAAAAATAGAAAAAAATATTGATATTAGCACTAAATTAACTATTTAAAATTTCTTTTTTTTTTATGTATTTCTTTAATTTATTTTTTATTTTTGATTTAATAATATCATTTTTATAAAGATAATAATCAAGTATTTTGTTAGAAGTCAACGATTATCCTAATTATATTTTATGTTTCTTATATTTAAAATGATATATATTTATCATCTATTTGATTATGTTTATATACAGTTAGTTACACAAATTCAAACATGAAGCTTTAATAAGTTGTACTTATGCACAATTTACTTGTAATATTGAATTTTAAGTAATATACATTAATAAACAGTACGTCATGCATAAAAATGATTTTTAAGAGTTTTTATTAAATGCTTTATAATATAGTATAGATATTAAAATATTAAATATCTCAACGAACTTTTAAACAATCAAAATGATAATTCTCGACTTTTTTATGTAAAAATCAGATAAACTTTAAATAAAATTTTATCATAGAAAATCAAACAATTTCTTTTATTTTCATTCTCATTGATTACTACTTAATATCTCTAACCAAACACCCCCTTGAATTTAAACTGAGATCGCCAATTTTTAATTAAGTCGTATATGGATAAATTTGTTTGTCTGAATAAATGGGTGTTGTCGTTTACTTTTTTATCTTAATCAACAATCTGAATAACATAAATGACCGATTTATCCTCCAATATTAATTATTTGAACATCAATACAAAAAATCATAAAAAGGCCGATGATGGGGTGTCTCATATTGGAAGGAGGCGGTGCTTTAAATAAGAGGTAGGGGTGTTATTTTTGTGGCTAAATAGGGACAACACATCATTTCTATCTGTGTGATTAAGTCATGTTCTGTACGAATAAGCCGTAAGTAAACAACCCAAATGAACTATGCAAATAAACTAGATAGATCAATAAACCTAATTAAGCCGCAAATAAACAGCCTCTTAATATTAATGAAACAAAATCTTCGTTTAGTATCAATTTTAAAAAGTATAACTGGAAATTAAAATTATTATTTTAACAATTTAATTCGACAGAGAAGATCCATTTTGTGATGGAATTGTAACCCCCACCGGCTTTGCAATTTTGGAACTTGGATAAATTGGGTGCATGAACATTCACAAGTTCTTCCAATACATATTATTTAATTACTTAAATTATTTAATTTATTTTTATTTTATAATATAAAATATGTTCTTACACGTGTTTCAGAAGATAAACCAAAACGAAATTTTTTTCTATATTTTTTCGGTCATTTACCTTATCAGATAAAAATGATGAGGGTCGAAAATCTTACCGGATAAGAACAATATTAATGATGGAGAGTCTTACTCAGTAAGCATTTACCGGGTAAATTGTTGCATACAATACCGTTTGATAGACGACTACACTCTTACACGAGTCTTACCTGTAAGTGGGTAAGCGTTTGGGTAAATGGCCCCTAAGATTTGATGAAGTTTAACAAACAAATTTTATCTGGTAAAATAAAAAATAATAGACTAAACTTACGTATTATCGTAAATCATTTTCGTAATTCAGATATCGTGTTTAATGAGTTTGTGAGTATGAAGGGCATGTGCTTTGTTTTGGAAAGCAAAATTTTATGGAAATATGTAAAGAATTAGGCATCTTTTTCATCGTTTTTTGTATCAGATATATTATTCTTCTTACATGTTTGATCAGATATAAAACGCTGTATTTTAATAAACCTAAGGAACTTTTAATGAATGAACACAATCTTTGAAAATTGGCAATGCATATAAAGTTTGAACAAGATCTACAACCCTATCCATTAAAGACCAAACAAATCCTTGAATGATGTGGTCATATAAGTCCAAATACACTTCAATAGAATTCTTATCAAAAGAAGATGCATCCTTCTTTCCAAAATATAAATATAAATTAATTATAAAAGACTGGTATTTTAATACTGATATGATATAAAGTTATTAAAACAATAACGTTGTATTATTTGTATTACTAATAACATTTATTTGTACAGTATGTGTATGTGTATGTGTATACGAGTAATTGAAGATGTTTCATGGTATTTAATGTTTTATACACATATGCATACAAGTATTGAATATGTTTCATGGTTTCTATGCACATATGCATGTTATACATATGTTCCTAGCCGACAAAATTGATTGTACAGATTAATGGTTATTAGGGTGTTCACCGGTTTTTTTTTTATGATTTTCCCTTAAACCTAATATTAACACCCTTGTTTTATGAGAATGCGAGAACATTTATAGACCTCTAAAAACTTATTAACCAATAATTGAAATTAAAAGAAAATAAAGTAATTAATTAAGAACTAGAAGAGTACCCGCACAATGCAGCGAGATATATCTCGATTTTAATGTTTCATTTTATTTCGGCTCTGTAGATGTTCTAATATGGTTTTTATGTGGTTTTTGAGAAAGGAATAATGTTTTAAATTTGAAAATATCATAAATTTTTGAAAATAAATATATCAAATTAACTATTTGAAAGTTCTTGTTTTTTGTGTAATTTATTTAATGCATTTTTTATTATTATAATTTAATTTATATTTAAATAACGAAGTAATTTATTTTTGATTTAATTATATAATATTTTTTTATAAGAATAATAATTAAGTATTCTGTTATAACTTAATGATTATCTTAATTATATTTTGGATTTTTTATATATGAAATGTTTATCTTGTATTTGATTATGTTATCTGCAGTTAGTTATACGAATCCAAACATGAAGCTTTCACAAGTTGTACTTACGCAAAGTTTATTTGTAATCTTGAATTTTAAGTAATATGCATTAATAAACAATACTTTATGCATAAAAATAGTTTTTAATATTTTTTATCAAATATTTTATAATATAATATAGATAATCATGTGAATTCGTATTTATCTGTAATCTTGGTGACATCCTTGTCCATAAAATTACTTACAAATAATATATTTGTTGATATCAATCATTATCACAATAAAATCACATAGTGAACAGACATATCGATGATTGTAGACGTAATCATCATTGGTTTTCGATTATCGCAACATTATCATAATGTTATCACAACAAAATCACATAATATATCAGATGATTATCACAGCAAAATCACATCATAAAAAATCTTAAATTTATTAAAACATTATCACCAGAAAATCAAATCATTATCGTCAAGAGATGCATCAACATTTAAAAGATAAAGATAAATCTAAGAAAACGGAAAATATGGATAAATACTAATTTATTTTCATTTATTATAATTTTCATTATGTGTTAATTAATTTGGAAGTCCAGAAGTGTTCTTGTATTCTCATAAAATATGAGTGTTCTCGTTTGAACCATTCTCTATGTGTGTGTATCTATATATATATATATATATATATATGTGTGTGTGTGTGTGTGTGTATGCATACATATACACACTAGAAGAGTATTCACGCAATGCAACGATATAAATTTTCATTTTAATGTTTAGTTTTTATTCTCATGTTTCTCACCTCCACTTTTTTTTTTTCGGAATCCAAGTTTATAAATATATAAAATAAATTTACATCAAATAAAGTGGTTTACGTATGTAATGTTTATGATGTTAATTATTCAAAGTTATGATTTTAAGAGGAAAAATAAAAGAAAGGAGTGGAAGGTGGATAACAATTATTTTTGAGTAAATTACGGATTTGTTTTTGTTAACTTTGTTTATTACAAAAGAACCTTTCACATTTGCATTTTTTACAAATATGGCCCTTCACACTAGCGGCCGCCTATTTTAACCGTTAAACTCAAGGGTATTTTGGTCCTTCACCATTTTTCACCATTTAAACATTTTCTAATTAAATTTCTTCATTTAATCAAGAACAATCTTCATATTATATGAATCTTCATCTACTTTATCATTTTATATAAGATTTATATTTATCTCCTTTACTGTTCAAAGTATTTGTAAGTAAAACCCTGAGATCTAGATCAGAATCCTCGAATATGAACTCAAACCATTAATCTAAAGAAATCACATTCAAACCCTAATGAAAAGAAAAACGTAACTTAGAGGGGGATCGATGGAGTTACATGGATCGAATCACATGGATGACTTGGATTTCAGATCTGCTTCGATTTCAAACGACGAAGCACAGAGATCGAACCACAAGCACGACTTCTGGTTCGATTTCAAATGACAGGAATATTTCAAACAACGGGAAACATAAGGATCAAACAATAGGGATGACTTCGATTTCAAGAAAAACATATATAATTGATTAAAAATGATAAAAATAAAAGAAGAAAAAAGTGAAAAAGACTATAACGCCCATGAGCTTTACGGAGAAAGTGGACAGTCGTTAGCGTAAAAGACCATATCCATAAAAAAAAACTGCACATATGGAAGGTTTTTTTGTAATAAATAAAGTTACGAAACCAAATCCACAAATCTTTGACGTATCTTAGAGATCAAATTCGTATTTTACTCAACATCTTTTTTTGCAAAAGGACAAGATCATCCTCAAGATTTGCTTTTTGCAAAAGCAATTTCACATGATTGGTTTTTTCTAAAATGAAATGTTTGTCTAAAAACATGAAAATGGCTTTTAAGAAATAATAATTTCTGATAAAAGGTATTAGGGGACTGTTTGATAAATGTTGAATGGTTTAGTGCAGAATGATTAAGTGGTCATAATAATTAAGATGCTCTTGTGATGTAGGGCAAAATGAAATATAATTGTTTGGTAATTGTTCAAAATAAAATTAGGGCGCTGAATGGTTAAGTGAGGCTCAAGACACAAAATCGTTCAAATGATTTTAGAAACCACTAAGAGACACTCTTTTTTTGCCAAACAGAATTCATCTCTTAGCGATTCAAATACTACATCTTAATATTTATTTTGTATAACTTTTTAACGAACTCATCATTTTTTTAGTTGTTAATTTTAAGGTTTCATAGAATCAGATTAGTCTAGATACATAAGTTGACATGTGCATAAACTAACGTATACATAAACTGATGTCAGAAGGGTTCTTGTTACTAAAAAAATTTATTCAGTTGAAGTAGCTTTTTCCCGTAATATTGGGCAACCGATCCAATCCAATACAATATAAGATTTGATTGGTTCCATTCTCTTGATATTATTATCGGCATCCACTGGGTCAGATTAGATCCATGCAATATCTTGATTCAAATTTCAACCAATTGGTCATATGGTTTTTTAATTTCTTAAAATAAACTACACACAAATAACATATGAAAACAATATCGTAAATATTAGTAATATATATATAGGGGTTAAATCAAATGAGAACCGGAAAAACATTATAAACCTGTGAGAACCAAATATTTTTATGCACGATTTTTCCATCAAGTGTTAAAATTTAAGATATTATTTCACATATGTTTGTGGCATAATGCGATAGTTTTACATGCATTTATTTCACATTGTAAAAAAAAACCGTACATTTTTTGTTTCACTAAGTGAACCAACAAAAAAAGTTTCACATGGATATTTTTCACCATATGAACACAAACATATATGAAACAATAGCTAAAATCACAGTCTTTGATGAAAAAACTTGTAAAAAAAATATTTTTACATATATATATATATAGGGGTTGCTTCAAAGGTTAACCAAAATTATTGTGTTAACTTTGTTAACCAATCTTGGTCATTGATTCTTACAATAAACGGTTGTGATTAATCATGATAAAAAATTAATTTTTTAAATTTATAATTTCTAAAAACATATGTGAACAAAGGGGAAAAGAGTATTTTTCTTTTTTATGTAACTCCATATTATTAATTGGGAGTTACAAAATCAAAAAATCTCATTCTTTTTGTTAATGCAAGAACCATATGAACACACACACACACACACACACACACACATATATATATATATATATATATAAACATATGAGCAACATGTGAACCATATGAACAACATGTGAACCGTATAAACATCTTATGTATATTCATGAGCCAACTCTGTTGTATGTACATGAACACGTATGAACCAAGGCATCTAGGGTTGTATGTTTTCATACGTATTCATATGTCTTCACATGTTCTGTGTGTGTGTATATATGGATTAATATAAACATCTAGTGACTTGAATAGACATGAACACTTATGAATTACGGCATCTAAGGCTATGTGGTTTCCGATGTGTTCATATGTCTTCATATGTCTGTGTGTGTCCCTTTGTCTTCATATGAACATCTAGTGCACTATGTGATAGCTTCATCTGTCTTCACATGTAAACTGATTGAATCTCTAAACAGAGCCAGCTCCTGAATATACAGAAGTTGTTCAACAGGTCAGATGCAGTCACCTTTTTTGCAAGATAAGTGAGAACTGTCAAATGTGAGAACTGTCGATTAAAACGAATGCAATATCATATTAATCCATTACCAATATAAACGCTTTGATCATTGTCTTCACTTCCGGAACTCGAAGTCCGATTGTCATCGTAAACCATTTTAACCTTCTCATTCTCATTGTTGTAGATCTGTTTTCCAATGGGTTTATCTATATTAGCTTGGACGATATCGAAAACTTTACTATAGGAAATTTTTTAACAATCACAAATTCAATAACATTATAGATAGATAAATCAAATTTCAAAAATAATCACATATTGAAAAAGAAGATCAATATTAAATCATCATCAATTATGGGATTTTTATATTTTGTAACTCCTAATTAATGATATGAGAGTTGCACAAAATGGTAAAATTACTTAATTACCCTTGTCATTAACATATGAGATGTATGTGAACCTAAAGAAAAGATTGATTTTCATTGGTTGAGCTTGGTTAACAAAGTTAACACAATA